ACTAAAGATGTCAATAGAAAAATCAAGCAGTATAAGAATAATAAAGCTGAAAAAGAGCAGAGTAAAAAATAATGAAGACTTGAAGTCAGTCTTATGAAAATTGATAATAACTTACTTACATCACTAATAGAAGAAGAATTAAATTGATTTAGAGGTGATACATATACTGAGAATAATGTAGATAATCTTTTTATTATAGATTAGCTACTGATTGTTGATATAGAGTGCAATAATGAGAATGTGATTCAAGATTTTTATTGTTTTAGTGTTTTTATCATTTTGGTGTGGTGCACCCACATGAGGTGTGGGTTGCGCAGCAGCATGATTAGTATATATTTTAAAGTAATTAGCTACCGAGTGCTCCTCCGTAGCTAAATTACTAGGGGCATACCCGCCGCCCCGCCACTTACAGTCGTCTGGAAGATCGATCGACATGCTTGGCCGACTTCACCACGTGACCACACACGCAAATTGAATGTCGTGAGGATTTAATTAAACTTGCAATTGAAGATCTGAAAGTGCAAAGATCAAAAATTATTGTGTCACTGCTAGAAAATGTTCAATTAGTGTTATGACTTCAATCTGGGCGCAGATAAACGGTTGTTCGATTGCCAACTAGATAAGCTATTTCAACGGAATACTAAGGTGATTTAAGAAACAAGGGGCTTGGGAAAGGATCTCCTTATACTCGTTTCCATAGCAGTTGGCTATGCCGTTGTTTGGCAGTCTCTGTGGGGTAGCTGTTTGCGGGGTAGTTGCTACTAACCTTCATGGATAACGCCAGTTTCCGTAGCTCAGTAGACAGCGCCGTGCCTAGTAGACCACGCCGTCACAATTAGGAGATACACTGTGCTGATGATATAGAAAGACATTCAACTCTCACACAATGAAGTCATCTTCTGGTATAAAAAAAAGGGTCACAAATGTGTAAGAAAAGTAGCTTCTGCTTCATGAAAAGAAACTTACAACTCGCGGCTTTGCTTCTACATCTCAGATTATTTGAAATCTAATAAGAGGTCATTAAGAAGTCTGTAGAAGAGAAGTGAGTGAGCTGCGTTACAGAGCATTCCAAGAATTAAATCAAATCTCTGTATGTTCATATAATTAATCAAAAATGCAAAGATTGTAGATCATTCTGAGTATTTTAAGCATTATTTTTAATTTCTAATTTTGAGATTTTATTAATTTTACTGTTTAGTTGTGCTTATGATCTTTTGCTGATAATTTAATCATATAATTAAATAAAAATATTGAAAGATATAACATCAAGTCATTGAATATTTACAATTTTAGTAAAAAGAGCTTCCTAATTTACGTTAATAAGATTACTATCATAGTTAAAGACATCTTCTTGGCACCAATATCTCCTACGTCTTAGAAACTATCTCTCTACGGCGCCGCCCCTACTCCGATAAGGATATTCATATTACCCTGATGACGAGGTGATCATCTTTCCTTTGTATGAGATGATTATCTTGCCTTGTAGGAGACACGAGGTGACCGTCATATGAATGACAGGATGATCATCTCTATGATCATCGCTTTGAAGGACATCGCCACTTCCTTGATCAGATAGAGTGGTATCTGAGCGTATTCATGAAGAAGGGAAGGCTGATAGAAACTCTATAAAGCTAGTTATCTGACCCACTGTTCAGAGGGTCAGCAATTCGTTCTTGATATAGTTATCAGATTCATTGAAGACGCATACAAAACTCTATCTAATCATCTGTATCTTTGATCGCTTAGATTCCCTGTCAGTCCTTAAGACATAAGCTCGTCTGTTCGCTTAGCTAGTCAAGCCTAACCATTCAGCTTCCCGTCAAACAATCTACGCGACGGCACTGTTGACTCCTTGTCTCGGCGTCATCTCCTTACAATTACTGCTGTGCAAGATGATAGTTGTAACTTCATCTTATTGTTTGCTGAAATATGTATAGATAATATATCTCTCTTATACGTCTTAATTTTTATCAAGAAACTAAGGTGCTAAATACATAACTGAAGAATCTAAACGAGAAGAATTAATTTATTTCATAGTCTTCGCAAATAGCTAATCAGATACTGTAGAGGATCGAATAAACAGAGCTAATGAACGAATGTATTGCTATAACTAACTGATCCAACTCGCAGATTGTAATGAACGGTTTGTTGGGCGAATATGACACATAAAGAAAAGAATGAAGGCTGTGCCAAGCCGGAAGTAGTTATTCCGACTCCGGACAGGCATATGAAAGGCTATGTATAATCAGATACAGAGACTGGATAGACTATAAATAATTATCTCATAGTTTAAAATGATGATTCTCTTTTTAACTATATTATTTAAAAATTTTCATTTCTGCCCGAGATATTTTTTTTAACATGAACTTAAAATTAAACTTGAATTTAAATCAAACATCAAGTTATTTCACAATTTTTAAGTTTTATAACTTTATCTTTTAGAGTTAATGATTCTGAAATATGGATTAATGTTGATCCGCTCCGATACGTCTTTATATTCGGTCGCTCAAATCCCCAGTTTAGTATTCTCGTCGCAGCGACCTAGTTAGACGAATTGAAGCTTTTGTCTTGTTATCACCTTCCTTGGCTCTAGACTGAGCCATGACAGATTCTATCTTCTTTATACTTTCTAGAATAAAAGTGAATTAACTCAGTGTTATTCATATTAAAATAAAATATATTATTATTTTCTCTTTTAAAGATTTTTTATGTAGCTCATTTTATGTTTCCGCAATTATTTTAATATAGATTTAGAGCTAATGATAAGCTTTATATCATCATAGCTAGATATTTTTACTATATACACTTTTATTCTTGAATAAATTAGCTATATATGCCAAAATAAAATAGATAAAACTGAAGATTTTTCGAGAAACTTCTATTTCAATTTTAGTTTTCTTTTATTTTAATATATTAAATAGAAGTTGAATATTTATTTTAATCATAAAACAAATGACTTATTATATTAAAAGCTTTGATAAATTTAAAATTTAAAAGATGAAGATCATTTTATTTTTTGAAACATATTCAAAGCATCTTTATATCAATAAAAGCAGCAGTAGATACCATAAAAGACTATACTTAATCTCTCTGATAGTCAGACTTCATCTTCATACTAGCCTTCATACTATCACAGCATCATCTTCATTTTTCTTGGATTATGTGCTATGACGACGTATGGCTACTTGGTCTGAAAAGGGCAATAGAAACTGCCTAGCAACGGCATAGCAACCACCTCGCAATCAACCACCCCGCAATCAACTACCCCGTAAACAAATACCCCACAGAAACTGCCTAGCACACGGCCTAGAAACCGCTAGTGGAAAGGGGTATAAAGAGAGGCTTCCCCAGGTCCCTGCTTCGTAGAGCATCTTAGTATTTCGTTGAATTAGCTTACCTAGTTGGCAATCGAACATCTGTTTATCTGCGCCAAGATCGAAGCCATAACACTTACTACTGAAGCTTCACTCTCATGCTTCATTCTATTGGGATGAGACAGTGTCTTCATTTTTCTCATATAATCTTTTAACTACTGAACCTTCACCCTTATAAAGGACTATGCCGTAATCCTCCTGATACTCAGGCTCCGCCTTCGTACTAGCCTTCGTACCACCGAGGCGGCGCCTCCACCCTATTCGTATAACCCCCTACTACCGAGGTGGCGCCTCTACTGCCGAGGCGGCACCTTGCTTCATACTGCTGAGGTGGCCCTTCAATCATCCTCGTATAAGCTCTTACTACTGAAGCTCCGCCCTCATCACTCTTGTAGAGCCTTTTCTTTATAAATGAAGTCTGATCTCTACATGATCTGTCTTCCTTTTCCTTCCCTAACAATTCTTTCTTGTTTTCAAACGCATTAGTTATCAGCTGTTTTCAGCAACTAGTCTGTTACAACTCTCATGCTTCATACCATCAAGACAGCATCTCTATTATTGAGGCAGCATCCTTAGCATTTTTGTATAAACTTCTTACTACTGAAGCTCTGCTCTCATCATCTTTGTAAAGTCTTCTCTTTATCAATGAAGTCTCATTTTCACATAATCTGTCTTTCTTTTTCTTCTCTAATGATTTCTTTTTATTTTCATATGTGCTAGTTATTAGTTGTTTTCATTGACTAGTCTGTTACAGTTCAACACATTACTAGACACATTCTGAGATGCATTGTTTAGAGGCTGAAGAGACTCTTCAGAGACATCTGACATGTCTGAGAAAGTTGTGAAAATCCTCTTCTTCACAGAGTGAAAGAAGATGAGGCGATTATGATGTGCCTGTTGGAATTGCACATCACAGCAGAGTTGTTTACAATGTATTGTGGGATCAAATGACTATATTAGCGGGAGGGGTGAAAAAAACTGCAAACAAGCCAAACAGGCCAAGACACCTTCATATGTAACTTCCACGTGCCGAAACATGCCACAACATCATCAATGACGTCATTGCCGCATTGTGGTCGGTTGGAACACCGTGGAACGGTTGGAAGCAGTTGGGAATCAGGGAATCAGGGAATCGGTTGGAACAACATCAACGGGGCTATCCATTATTAGCATGGCAAGTGACAGTAAGTAGGCTGCTGTCTGGTTCTATAAAAGTTCCTACCTTCTTCGACATGGGCAAGCATTATTCCTTTTATTTGTTGAATTTCTAACCGCCATCGACGTAATCTGTACCTGTACATACATACAATACACACTTCACTCTTACACACCCCAGCGAAAGTTTAACCAAGGCACAAAAGGCTGGCCATCTGGTTTGTAATCTTTTCTCATCCTGCTCACCCTGTATGTTAACACAATACAGCTCCATCACTAACAACACATATTTACCATCTCAAAGGTAAACCCGGATTAACCCTGCACATAGATTGACATTATTCCCGAACTATCCTCCAACTCTTCAAAATTTCCCACTGATCCGGAACACCATCCGTCTCTCACACAGGAGAAAGTTCATCACCGTCATTATCATCGATCCTCTTAACGAAGCTGGAACCCAAACCGAAGATGTCGTACGCCCAAGCAGCCTCCCAGGGCGCTCAGCAATCTCCTGAAGAGGTACGTCACCATCGAGATTGTAAAATACCAGTCCTTGTTGTTCAGCCACCCGTTGAACACCTTTATCCGTTCAGTCTTGCTAACAATTATATATAGGCGTGAGTGTATCCTCAGAAAGCATATTTTTAATCCTCCCCCCATTCAGCAGCCTATCACGAACCTATACACTGAAAAATACATGTCCTAACCAAAAAGAATAAACGAACTACAGTCGTGCTCCACCACCCCCACAGATCGAAGTAGCTGACTCAGACACAACAAAGACCTCCCTCATCGACGTGGACTCCCCACACGTTTCCTCCGTGCCTTCCACCTTCGAATCACAGGAAATAAAAACCACCACTCAGGCGGAGCGTATTGGGCGGGAGCGCGAAAGGGAAAAAGCAGCCGCAGCCGCAGCCGAACGCGAACGGGAATTCTGCAAGGATAAAGACAAAGGCAAAGTAAAAGCTGGGAAGGAGGCTGCTAATAAGGCCGCCGTAGCCAAGGCGAAGTTGAGCCGTAATATAACAAATCCGGTGATCCTGGGGAACGCGCTGTTCATAACGTTTGCGGGCACTGGGTTGGGATTTGGGGCGTATCAGAAGCATATTCGGGGGGCGTTGACTTGGAGGGTTATTGGAATGTGGTCCGGGATCGTTGGGACGGTGGTGTTTGTAGATTATTTTGTTAGCAAGTGAGTGACCCCTTATCACCCTCTACTCCCTTACTCCGCTTACCCCACCCTCCCCCTCCTTTTCTGCTTGATAGTTATAGTAAGGTTTGGGGGTGAGATGTGGGTTACATGTCATTATGCATTTGCTGATTTCTGTTTGAATCTGGGTGTAGGTGGTTCTTCCAGAACAAGTATCCGACAAAGTGAATAACTACGAGGGCTAGCCCTGATGCAACTGCGCCTGGTCTGATCGACGAATCACGCATTCGCGGGAATGAACTCTCAGCTCCTCTGATGTTTTTCATCCTGTTATTTTGAAACTGATATGTTATTTGGAGAAGGCTAGTTGAGCGATGTGGATCCTTGCGGTATTCTTTCGCTTTTCCTCCTTAAAGCATATAATGGACATGAAACATTAGGAATTCCTAAACGCTCATTGTACTGTTTGGTTGAGTACATATGGCATTGCCAATGCATGATGTCAACCGAGGTTCGTCTATTCAATGCCGTTTATGGCAATGAATGGTCATAGTCACCGCAAATTGTCATGGATGAAAAAGCATATGGCATGCATATGCATACATGCTTGGTTGTTTCTGATTTGATGTCTGCTAGCAATTTCTTTCTGTATCTATATTGAAAGCTCGAATTGAATGCATTTAAATTATCGAAATTTAGTCCCGAATCTTTCTACTCCATCTGATGGATCAGGCTAAAGGCCGCAGTGGGCAATCCTATACTCGCTGCGGTGCTGCCCTGTAAGGGGAAGATCATGTATTAGAAGAAAGAAGGAGGGAAAAAGAAATAAAAAGAGAAGTGTGAGGTGTAGGGATGAGGAAACAAGAATTTATATATTGCATCATTTTGTAACTGATTATCGGAGCATGTTCCTCAGCATGCTAGTCATAAGGGGTCGAAGTTGGAATGCATGTTGGTGAGATTACAGAAGGCGGTGAGACTCGTCAGAACTTTTATAGTTTCTTCCGATGATGCAAGTGGACAGTTTGCAAGGAACCAACCTCATAACAAAATACCGACTGCTATGAACATCCACTTCCACTCCAGATACCTTAACAATTGTTCTACTACCTCAGCAGCTTCACGGATATTTCTCAGGTCCATTGGGAATACTATGTGAAGCAAGCCCCTCGGGCTGCCTGTATTCCCCAAAGTTGAACATCTTGTTTTTCAGCCGCATCAGCATACCGGCCCAGTTGAACCTCCGCAATTCTACCCACCATGGTCAGTCTTTTTAAATACGTGCTGATTCGACAAGGCGCCTTTCCTAGCTCAGGATCTGATATATATATTTTCAGAACTCCCTTTTCAACGCAGCACTGAAGCAGTCCTCCGCACTACGCCGCGACCTGGACGCCTTCTCTGAAGCTCCAACAACCACATCACCTGCCGTTCAAGGTTCGGACAAATCTATACACGCCTCCCTGTTCTAGAATTTGTAGTACAGTGCTATCGACTAACCATATATGCTGTGGACCAGGCCAAATATCCGCCTCCCTAACATCTTTCTCCCGCACGATCGATGATTACTCCTCCTTATCCAAACAAGAGCTCATCCCTGCAAAACAAGAACTGGCTTTTGAGCGGCTGAAGAATTTCCGGACTGAGCTAGCGGACTACAGACAGTTGTTTGATCGACTAAGGAAAGAGCGCGAGGATGCTGTATGTCCACTGCTCCCTTGATAAATATATATATATATACATCGTACATATCAACCATTTTCCACAATCTAACCAACAATCAATCAAAAATAAACAGCAATCCACCTCAAACCGCAATGAGCTCCTAGGCCGACGCCCCCACCATGCCTCAACACCCGAAAACCCATACGCCCAATCCAACCTCCCGCAATCTTCCCCCTTCGCCAACCCGAACTACTCACATCACCGCCCCTCACCGGGCGGCAGTTTAGGCTTCAACGGTGTCCCAACAGACTACACGCGTGAAACCCACACATTACGCGAACACTCCTTCCTCTCCAGCACAAACATACAGCTAGACGAGTTTATAGGTCGGGGCCGGGCAGTGTTGGGAGACCTAGGACAGCAGCGGGAGATACTCAAGGGGACGCAACGGCGGTTATATAGTGTAGCAAACACTCTTGGAGTGAGCGGGGATACTATACGGACAATTGAGCGACGGGCGAAGCAGGATAAGTGGATATTTTGGGGTGGGGTTGTGGTTTTCGTTTTGTTTTGTTGGGTGGTGTTGCATTTTTTGACGTGAGGTGGGTGTTTCTTCTTTCTTCTTCTTCTTCTTTTATTTTAAATTTATTTACTTATTTTATGTATTATGGATGTCTTGAGGGGTCGGATTATTGCGGGGCGAGAGTTAGAGGAATGCCTGATTGATTCAGAGACTTTCAACATATTCTTATTTTCTTTTCTTCTAACTACTTGTCATGGGTAAATGCAGCGATTGGAGTTTTTCTTTCCATCGATATGTTCTATATATACTATATCTGCTCAAAAGTTCGCATTGCGACCCCTCACTCATCTACTATACAGTACGTCAATCCTTTTTCTTTCCATTTGCTGTTGAGGACCGGTATCAACAATGGTTATGACGGACGGGCTGGCATCTGCATTGCCTTACGCACTCACCATAGGTTTCACGGCAATGGCATGCCACGGCACCTGTGATATCCAAGATGTCGTTTTCCAACTGATTACCCTCACTGCATGGGAAGTGCTCGATATTGCATGGCATGCATGGCCTGTACTATCCCGATGCACTGGTCGCAGATTATCCGACAGTCTATATATAGTTCTCTCCCTTCACCCTCCCGAACATTTGGCTCATACAGCAGATATTTTAGTCTCTTTGTGTTAGAGCTTCGATGTCTCCACATGGAGAGGGTTTTGCACGGGATCACACAAAGACGCGCCGGCCACCAATAGCCATGACATCAGCACACTTGGGAACTCGGGACGCCTATCATCCTGTCCGGTGTGGTGGAGGGAAGGGCGGAAGGGCCATCTTCTACAGGATATATTAGCTTCTTTTCCATCCCTCCCGAACCTACAAGGGTTACCGGGAGTTGTAACCTTGCAGAAAGAGAGGTGGCTGGGACTGGTTCTAAAGATATGCAAGGGTTTAGTCTGGAGAGTGTGCCGAACAGTGGGCCGGAGAGGGGAGTCGGGCCCAGGAACCAGAGAGCATTGGGAGGGCACGTCGTATTCGCAGCACCGTGTGCTTTCCTCTACCTCTATGAACTGACGCGAGAATATGGAGACAATGATGAATGTATTGCTGGACGACTGGTTAGTATATAATATATATTTTGTTATATTATGGTTCCGTGTACTCTACTCTGATATACTTTCTGTACAACAACAAATCGGCTCATGTCTCCAACCCAAACAAAAGCCTTGAAGGGATAAGGTGCTTATATAATCTGCCGAGCTGTGATGACTCAGCCGCGTTTACGGAGAAACCCGGCCCTGAGCGATTTCCGAAAGGGGACTAGCGTGTCCGGTCTCGGGTGAAACCCATCGCATTTTTAAACCACGGTCAAACCATAACAATCGTCAATTGTTAGAAGCAATCTTCAATCCTTCAATCCCTTCACTTCTCCATTTCTTTCTTCGTTTCCCTTCATTGCCATCTTTCTTGATACCCTGTATTTTCTTAAGCCACCAACATGTTTGCCGCCCGCAGAGCTTTCGGCTTTGCCCAGCGACGGGCCTTCTCCGTCTCTGCGCCCCAGGTAAACGATCATTCGCCGTCCCAAAGAGCGATCTAATGCTAATGATCATCCATTGCTAGTCTTCCAAAGTGGCCATTCTAGGTGCCGCAGGTGGTATTGGGCAGTCATTGTCTCTGCTGATGAAGCTCAGTCCTCGTGTCACTCAGCTGGCTCTGTACGATATCCGGGGTGGCCCAGGTACATATATACACATACGAACACCAAAGCGCCAACCAATTGGCTCAGACAGGAGCTATAGCAGAGATTCATAGATTGCTTGGAATCTCTAGTCAAGCTCTTGTATAAATCGTGCTGATGCTGATGTGCTTTTAATTGTTCGTCTGCAGGTGTTGCCGCCGATCTTAGCCATATCAACACCAACAGCACTGTTACGGGCTATGATCCTACCCCCTCCGGTCTCCGGGACGCTCTCAAGGACTCTGAAATTGTCCTCATTCCTGCTGGTGTGCCTCGCAAGCCTGGCATGACCCGTGACGGTATGTTATGTGGATAAATTTCCCGATTCTCCTAGTTCTGGCTCGTCCGCGGATATTGACAGTATGACGATAGATCTTTTTAACACCAACGCTTCCATTGTCCGTGACTTGGCCAAGGCTGCTGCCGATGCCTCTCCTAACGCCAACATCCTCGTCATCGCCAACCCCGTATGTGTTCCCTCTTATTCACGAAAGACTATACCTTATGTTGAAACCTCTTGAAACAACAATTCTGAACTCAGTCTCTTCAGGTCAACTCCACCGTCCCAATTGTCGCAGAGGTCTTCAAGTCCAAGAATGTCTACAACCCCAAGCGCCTTTTCGGTGTCACCACCCTGGACGTCATCCGTGCCTCCCGCTTCATCTCCCAAGTCAAAGGCACCGATCCAAAGGATGAGAAAGTCACCGTCGTTGGCGGCCACTCCGGCGTCACCATCGTACCCCTGATCTCCCAATCCAACCACCCTGACATCTCCGGCGAGAAACTCGAAACCCTCGTCAACCGCATCCAGTTCGGTGGTGACGAAGTCGTCAAGGCCAAGGACGGTGCTGGTTCCGCCACCCTCTCCATGGCCATGGCTGGTGCCCGGTTCGCTGAGAGCCTTCTGAAGGCCTCCCAGGGTGAGAAGGACGTCATCGAGCCCACTTTCGTTGACAGTCCCCTCTACAAGGACCAGGGCATCAACTTCTTCGCGTCCAACGTCAAGCTTGGACCCAATGGTGTCGAGGAGATCCTCCCCGTCGGCAATGTCTCTGAGTACGAGCAGAAGCTCATCGATACCTGCCTCGTTGATCTGAAGAAGAACATCGCCAAGGGTGTCGAGTTCGTCAAGACGAACCCATGAGTGATATGCACATTCATGAATATCAAGACATATCCTCCATCCATCACCGTCTTTACTTTTCTCCTCTACAACCCTTTACCATCTACCATACCGCCCACACACTCCAATGTATAATCTCATAAAACCAAAACAAAATACTATAAAATAAGTCTGTTCATTAAATAATTTCTCATATGATGTTTGGTTTGAAACACTGCACACCTAGAACAGGAATCCATCCTTGAGCAAGCTCTTTTTCCTGTCATCTTAGTCATCTTGTGGTCGGCAAGCGAGTTTTTTTGCAGGATGCTTTGGCGGGACACTGCCGCTCTTTCAAGTCATGTAAGAGTTTATTTTCCCCTTAATATAGAAAGATATGGAGGTTTTCTGTCAGTGAAGAAGGGTTTGATATTATATCATCTCCTGTTGAGTGCGTGTGTTGTATCATAAGATCGAATTCCACAGAAGATATTAAAGATGGTGAATTGAAGACGTGATTTAGAAGGAGAATAAACAAAGAAAGGAGATATTTTCAATTAATGTTATGCTATCGTGCCTACGGTTCGTATTCGTCTAGGGGCTGAATAGAGAAGTTGTTGCGGAGGAAGAATGTGACTAAACTAGTATATATATATAAAAAAAAGAAAACTGACGGGGAAAAGGAGATAATGAAAGCTAGAAAGCCAGGCTCAAGAGAAAGAGACGTTGAAAAGAATGGATGAGAGAAAGACAGATTACAGAGAAATCCGGAATGAATGAATTTATAATCATGGTCAATGACTATACCTAACGAGAAGGGAGAATAGAAGCCATTGACAGATTCACCAAAGTCAGTCCATTTTTCAATTCCTTTTCCTTAGCCCCTTATCTTATTTCTTTGAGTGAAATTTTGAAATTGATTACGAATGGAGCGAGATAATGCTGCTTTTGTTCCTTCTTCCCGTAGTAGATGGATGTTGGCAGCGGGGAGATGAGTGGAGTTGAGCTGAATGGGATAGGGGGGACGATGTTGCCCAAGAAGCTTACGCCATGAATCAATCCATTGCAAGTGAGAGGAAAAAAAAAAATGAACAAAAGGAATAGGAATCGTGAAATAATGAAATACAGTGTGTAGATGATTTAGGAGCACATGTCAAAGTCATAAAGCCAGAGGCAACAAAAGTCGACGGTAGCGTACTGAAGGGAGCTAGCCAGCTACCACTACGTAAATGGACGAGATGAGCAGAACTTTAAAAAATGATGAGACCAAAACACATCCAGCATCACAGCCGTGAAATTATAAAGGAGGAACAACAAAATATCGTGTTCAAGATTACCAAGATTTGAAATCAGCGATCAGAAGGGGAGGACATTAGGATAGATAGATGGCTAATAGTTACACAACCGGTATAAGTGAACGTAAGACACCATAGAAAAGGCAAATAGTGAAAAGGGGGATAGGAGAGAGGAGAGTGAAGAGAGAAGTAGAGAGGAGGGAAATAGACAAGAACCGAAGTTTTGAGAATATGGCTTGCGGGGAAGGATTTAGGTATAGCTCCGCATGGCATCCATATAGCCTGTTCCGCCTTTCAGATCGTGGTCAAACGTTTCAGCCACATCCAGAACGCGGGAGATATGATCCATGGACAGTGGGGCTTTCTCGTTAAGGGCGAGGGCCTGGGCGGTTCGGACGGAGTTTTTTATCTATTCAATTTCCCAATGTTAGAATACACTGATGTAGCTTAGGTCAAACTGAACAAAGTATACGATGTCGAAGGAAAGAAAAGAATAGAAAACGACATACCTGTCGACCATTCAAATTATGCCTGGCGAGGGAATCGTAGTCCTTCTCCGTGAACTCGACAACCTCAACTCCCTCTTTAACCGTTACTTTATTAAGGAACATTTTCCATACAGTCCGCTTGGCCTTAAGTGTCAGTTCGCCATATCGCAGCGCAACGTGTATCCGCGACTGGAACGCATCATCGAAGGTCTCGACACGATTAGTCGTCAGGAACAAGATGCCCTGAAAATACTCGAGGAGGCGGAGGAAGATGCTGACGAGCGCGTTGCGGTGGATGTCATGGATGGTACGCTTTTCAAGGAATACGTCTGCCTCATCGAGGAGCAGCACAGCACCCCACGAATGTGCAATGTCCAAAATCTTATTGAGTTCGCCCTCCAGGGTGCGTGAATCTGTGCCAAGCTCGCCTGCACTGACCATGTATAGTGGCCGCTGGAGAAGCTCTGCAATCCCTTCTGCTGTGAGGGTTTTACCAGTACCTGGTGGGCCGTGCAGGACTGCAACGAGACCCTTACCCTTGCCTTGAATGACATCATCGATGTTTTCGGCGGCGTGGAAGGTGTGCGATTCCACCAGTGCTTTAACGATCGATTTCTGGTTGCCAGGGAGGACTAGGGAGTCGAAGGCGCCCGAATTCCACTCGATATCATTGATACCAGAGACCGTGAACTCTAGCCACAGTTTCTCGCTAAAAGCGAATCCAAGAACGACAGGGCTGGCGATTAAGAGCTCTTCCTCTGTGAACTCAAGCTCCTCGCCCTTTTGATTCTTGTCGTTGATTTTATCCATATCTTCCTTGACAATTTCATCGCCGTTGTCATCGTACTCAATCTCGATGACATGTGCTTTCCCCTCTTTATCCTGTACCAATTTGAGTCTCGTTTTGAGCCTCTCTTCCTTGGGCCAATGCTCTGACTCCGATCCTGAACCAGCACAACAACAAGCTTCCGAACCACTCTCGTTCTCGGAGTCATCAAGAAGGTCCGGGTCCTTCGGTTTTACCGTGCTGATTGGATAGTTTGGGTTAATTCGACGATGGATAGCTGGATCAACCATAACACGACCATTAATGTTAACCTTAATTATTGATCTTCTCTTTTTGTAGAAAGCCATGCCTTTATGGAAACGGTAATTCATACCCTGGAGGGCAATGAATTTTTTACCACGCTCAATTAGTGTCTCTTTCAAGCCCTCTGGATCCCGATGATATTTGAGAGGGTAACACATAAGACTGGAAATCTTGCGGGGCCCTTTGAAGGACTCAACCTCCACAGCCATAGTACCCATGCCAAACGATTTGCCATCGTACTCGAGATAGCGACCCTCAATGCAGTACCACTGTCCCTTCACGAAAGAGCTCTCTTTGGTGGCATATTCAATTTTGAAGGCACGGGGTTCATCCGGGGAGGAGTACGTTGCAGTATAAGCAATGGAGTTTGGCTTGAAAAGCGCCCATAGCAGATCAAAGGTTATTGTGTTTGATTCCAAGAGGGGATACAATGTCTTCTTGATCTCGGCATAATCCTCGTCAAGATATTTAATCAGGACCTTCAAATGGGAGCATTTAGCTGCAGCCAATCTTTTCGCTCTCTTCTTCTTCTCTGATTTGGCCAGGACTTTTAGCTGCTTAGCGTATTCTCGAGCCTCCTCAAGATATAAAAACAGCATATTAGGGTCAACAACGGGAGTTTCTTGGACTAAGGAAACACCTTTGACGCCGTCCATGACATGTGCTAGTGCATCCCGGAGAGGTTTGCTCTTGATGTCTACAACAGTGTCTGTGTATTTGTTCTCCCAGTCAAACTTGCGTCGAACAGTAAATATGTACTGGTCCCACTCATCAGCATCGGGATCATCGACGGTTTCTGTCAACTTGTAATTATGTATGTTGTTATCCCATACTGCATTTAATATGATGAAAGAAATAAGTTGTTAGCGTGGGTAACGTATGAGGTAGAAAGTGGAAAGACAAACAAACGATGGGGTTGTTTCTCACATTGATCCACACGTTTAAAAGCAACTTTCGATCCACGCTTTCGTTTTCTGGATTTAATTTTTGGGGGATATCCCTTTTGACCTGCGCGAGAATCGGCTGGAATTGTTTTATCAGAAATCTGCCCTGGTTGGAGGAGCCTCCGCGCACAGTTGTTGTTATGCTTCATGCGGAGAGCCAGTAACTTTTGCTGGGTAGTACGGAGTTGCTCCTCGAGCTTATCCGCATCGACTTCTTCGTCAGACTTATCCTCCTGGTGCTTTCGGGATTTCTTTGCCTTCTTCTTGGCTTTTGTCTTTTTCAGCTTCTTTGCGGCTTTGGCATTGTTTTTTAGCTCATTGTCAGTGGTATCCGAATCGTCGTCGTCGTCGGAGGAGGAGGAGGAGGAGGAGGAGGCATGTTTGCGAGCCCTGGCCTTCTTCTTCTCCTTCTCCTTGGAGAGCTTCTTACGGTTCTTTTTGTGGGAATCTGTGGCCGAGGATTCTGAATCTGAGTCGGACGAGTCCGATGACGACGAACTGGAGGTTGACGAGGAAGAACCGTCACTCTCGCTGCTAGAAGAGTCCTTGGCCTTCTTCGATTTTTTCTTGTCCTTCTGCTTTTGTTTCTTCTGCGTTTTTGGTTTAGCGTTCGGGTGTTTTCTGCACGGTGTTTTCTTCGGGGCAGACTCTGGAGCTGGCGGAGATGTCTTTAAATCAGTGGTTGACGAGGTTGTCTCCCGGGTAGCTTCCACTTCCTGCTTTGTTTCCGCAACATCCGCTTTACTGGAGGAGCAATCTGTCTGCTCAGACATGTTGGACAGTAATACCTCGTCCTGTATATTATCTGCCTGCTGAGGAGAGCTTGAGGGAGAGGGGGAGGAGGGGGTGAAGACGGGGGTGGAGCTCGGATCGCGGGAATCAGCGTCAGAACTGGATTTCTGCGTTGTACGAACAGTCGATGCAGATAAGGGATTGGGATTTGTTCCAGAAGAGTCTTTCGCTGGGGAGGTAGGCATCTATAGATGAAAAACTGAGAATCGAGGACGAGTCAGAGGACAGGCAGACGAAGCAGACCACGCAAAGATTTTCTAAAACACAAATCTATCACAGCTCTACCGGTTTGTGAAGTCGACGGTAGTTGAAACAACGACGGGAACAGGATCCGGCAGCTCGAAGATAGAAATTCGTTGATGCAGGATCTGAGTCGTGAGAAAGCGGTGTGTAATCGGGACGATGATAAATATGATGCATACGTTAAAACCGCAGCAGCAGCAGCAGCAGCTTCCAGAAGTACATAAGAGCTGGGGATGCAAGTTCCAAATTTAGCCAGGAATTAACAGCAAAGAAAGAGTCTGTTTTCCAACTGGCAAACATTCAAGAAGAGGGGAGAACACAGATTCTTTTCCTTATTTTATATATATTAGTTAATATTGAGGCAGTAACTAGTAACTAGTCAACTAGTTAGTTAACCCGCTGCAATCAGTCAGCAAGAATATGATGAGCCAACGGGTGAGGTGAGGCGTGGAACAGCCGCCCCAGAGGCGTTCAGAACCAATTGCTGCCTGGTCGGAGACTCAACATAGCGCGTGTCTGGGGAGCTCCTTTAAGACGGGTAATCTGGATTCTCCCATCTGGAGACTGGGGGGTCTGTGGAGCATTTGAGAGAGTTGAGACTGACCAAGGAGCAGTGAAGCACAGGGATAGGGCGAATCTCGCATGCAGCTGAGCTCGAACTAGCCAGGATCTGTCAACCAGTTTGCTCGCTGCTTCTATCGGGAACCTAGTTAGTAGAGGGTGCGGCCAGGCTCCAAGAGGAACTGTTTCTGAGCGCCGCCCGCCCCTCAGCAGACAGGGAAGTTGGCGTAAGGTGTAACTATTCTTGGCTTGGTCAATTCGCCATGCGCATTATTACAGCACAGCAAACAAAGCAATCAACTAACTACTACCCCGAGGCAAGTAGTCAGACAGCAAAGACTGAGGTTGGGCAAGGAAGGGGACAGCGTTACTGCAATAGCAGGCTCTGCTCTCGCTAAAACGGTTTGGATTTGTCTCTTGGGACTTTCTGCTGTAGGATATTCAAGGCCAGGCAGAAATATTTGGAAGGTTGTAACTATATAATTCCAGTGCGAGGTTGAACGTCTTGCTCATGGGTACGGTTAATCGTTAACTTCTGGTAAGTCGGTGAGCGAATTTGGTTATGGTAGTTAGTTACTCCGCCGCTCCACGGTCGAGTGGGGTTTGCAGCCCCGTTTTGTATGCACACTTCCCAGTGGACGCCTGAAGCCTGGCGTGTCACTGCTAGGTACTGTGGGGCTCCCCTATACACAATATTGGTACCAGGCTGTCTGTACCTTGGGGGGGGGATCCCCCGGGGGGATTCCCCCAACGGTTCTCCGTTCCCAGCCCTGTCAGGCCCGCCCGCAAATGTTCTGGTTGCAGACAATGATCCATACGAAAACAATAATATGGCCCCCAGTCCCTCCCTCACAGCCAGCTGCTTCCCTTCCGCTTCCACATCAAAATTCGATGCCGTCTCTATTTCTTTATTTTCCTTTCTCCTGACCCCATTGAACCTGCAACCCTGGAATGACTATGTGTACTTTGCTACTAACTACTTAGGGCAAAACCCTGACTTGGCCCAACACGGCATAGCGCCAGACTCGACTATCAAAACCTCCCATCAACAACAAACGACAACTCTGCGTTGTTCCTATCTACGGACATTTCCGCATGCGATGCCATATTCCACAGCGGCATCAGGTCCGGCAAGATAGCCCACAGTTTTATCTCGGATTGACCATCTGAGACCGCCAGCAACAGAGCAATCCTGATCTTTGTCACTCAATGCAACGCTAATGTCGTGCAGGATCCCAACCGCAACCCGAGAATCTTGTACGAGCATATTCTCTCTCCCCCCCCCCCCCCCCCCCCCCGATTTCCCGCTAACCTGTAAACACATTCCTGATCAATCTCTCTCCTAAATCTTCTGGCCGTTGATGACCATCTTCTGGCCGTTGATGACCGTGGTGTATTCCCAACGGAGTGTAGTTTCCAATCTGACTCGGACTGGTCTCCATTTCAACCGTTGGAGGACGTATTCTGTACTCTATTCCTTTCAGTGTTGAAATGCGAAGATGGTTTCTTTTCTCGATCAACAAAACATATTAAATCACCAAGGCACTACGGAGTACTTGTACGATTAACTGTCGCATGTCCCTTAATTATTTTTAAGACTCTCCAAGTATATGGAGGTAAAGGTAAGGATGTGCGTCTCCATGCTGGCAATGCATGGATGGCTGTTATTTTCCATTTTCTTTTTTCTTTTTCTTTCTTTCTTTTTTTTTTTTTTTCTTCTTCTTCTTTTTCTTTTCTTGTGCGCCTCGGAGCCGTACCAGAACTGGAAAATTGATCTTCACCCGGTGCGGGTCCATTGTGGTCCGCCAACACTGGCTTGTATGTATTATATGTATACATCATGCTTGCACGCATGGACTGGAACAAATGAGCAGCGGTGAAGCATCGGGACATGCACTAACAAAACCACCGCTGGGTCGACTCCTGTTACTCCACGGCATACGCTGTTAGTCGGTTTCTTAATCCACTCTTGGTCCAATCAGCAAGACGGTTTTCTTCTTGTAGGTGTTAGAAAATGGAAGGGGGCAAACCGAGAAATGAAGAGAAGAAGAACGGTTTTCCCTGCTTTTGGAAAGAAGAAAAAAGCTCCCCAAGTCAAGCCGTGTTAAAAGCAGATGCTGTGAAAACGGAAAACAACAGGTTGAACGGGAAATCCACGTTGATTTTCCATTGCACATAGCTCCTTAACCACAAAATAAATAGCTATGGAGCCCTCCTTCCCGTATCATAACATTCACTCATCTTTATCGAGGCTAATGGTCAATAGCCAATGGAAAATATTGAAATTTGAAAAGCAGACACCAGGAGAAAAAGAGTCACAATGCATCTTCAAGACTTCTGTTTCCCCACCAGCCCATTCATGCACTGAAAGAAAATCTTGAAAGCATCTCTGTGGCGTGGATCAAGAATCTTCCACATCATTCTCCTTTCTGATTGCCATGTTAGACATTTTCTTGCTCAGTTCCTTGAACTTCTTTTGCACTGCGGTGGGTGGGTACTTTTCACCGCCATTAGACTCGATAGCTTCTGCAACAGAACGCCATTTCTCCGCTTCGAATTTTTCCTCGATTTCCTTCTTGTATCGGAGCAAGCGCTCTTCCTATATAATAAGGCAAACTATTAATAACAACAAGTTATGATTTTTCATATGTCTGTTTTGACTAGTTGAAGATACCCCACGCGGTACAAAGGCGAGAATGGGATGGCAAACTTACATCTTCCTTTTTGAACACTACAAAATTGGCTTTGATGCGACTATAGCGTCCAGATAGAGAACTGTTCCCAACTTTCTCACCGGTCATCTCCTCCCAGGCCTGGCGAATATCGGCCCAAGGCTTGTTTTCTTCATCTTTCATGCGAAGAAGCATTTTGTCCTCAGGACTGGCAGTCTCGAGAGATGTAGGCATGGGACGAGAACCCGCCTTCACCTTCTCCCCAGCTCCCCCTTTGCCAGCCTTGGATGGAACACGCTGTTTCTTGGTTGGAGACTCATCGACGTCATTATTTAAATTTTCTCCAGCGTTCTTCTCAGCAACTGGCTTGCGACCACGCTTGCGAGGGGTCGTAGTGGTTTTCCCAATCACCTTGGTCTTCCGAAAGGAGAAAATCAGCGAAACCAATCGACTACGTGGAACTACTGTGGAAAAGAGATCCGGCAGACCAGAACTTTGATTGATGCTCTGGTGATATCATAGCATTTGAACATTCAAAACTTACCTTTGCGCCATTGTTTCTGTTAGAAACCTCAGTGCTCTGATCGACGTTCTCCTGTTTGACGTTCTTCAGTGCATCACCGTTGGTTTCATCGCCGGACAAGTTTACATACTTCATCATCTCGTCGTCGTCCTCGACTTTGTTAAGACCCGTGGGCTGAGACATCTCAAGTTGTTGAACTGAAGTGATAGTTTCAAGAAGAACGGGTGATGTGTCTCGAGGGCTATGACGCAAGGTGCAAGATTGGGATGCAGCGTAGTTGTTTTGGGTGGAATCTAGAAGCAAAGGGGAAGTTGTAGAGATCAAAGGAACTTGTGAGGATCGAAGGACTGCTGTAAGCAAGTTTCGAGATTTGGTAATCGAGGTAAATTAATGTTGAAAGGGGGTTTGAATCGTTGGAGAAGCGCAGAGAAGAAGGAGAGAGTTTAAGGGTTAAAGACTCAAAGAAAGTTGAAGATGAAAAAGCCGAAGACAGGAGTAAGTAAATAATGTGTCAGTGAAAAAAGAGAGTAAACCAAGGGCAGGCAAAAGATTGTGTTGTGTGTTTGGATATTCTATCTACACGTTGCCGAGTGCATGATGTCTGTGCATGAACAATGTCAAGTGAGCTTCTTTAATATTCCAAAGTGACTTTCTGATACAACAAAATAGCTATATTAAGAAAGCTGACTGGTCTCAGAACAAAAGAGTCATGGCTTTTCTGATGAGTGAAGAATATTATTGTAGCACTCTCAACTGAGCTCTAAATAACATCAAACTACAACAGCATACAAGAAAAAAAAGGGGTAAGAAGAGATCATGTAAAAATCTCGAGGCCATTCTTGCTATGTAACTAATCATTCAAGTCTCATTTCCACCACCTTTTTGTTCTCGGTCATTTCTATCTAACATTGCCATTTACTAAGCTTGATTCCATAACTATTTCAGCTGTACATCTTCTCCAAACAATACCCGGCATTTCATCTTCCCTATTCTCCTACGGGGGGAATTGCCGCCAATATACACATTGTGCAGGCAGTGCAATACTACTGTTGGGTGTTAACATGTCGAATATCGAATGTACTGTACACGTTAGAACTCTAGTTCTGGGAGTGTACGAGATACGGAGATAGAGATATGATTACAGGCAAATTTAATATTGTCGACATGAGGCTGCAGACTAGGACGAGAGAACATAAGGATGATACAAATGATACATAATATATGGAGAGAATCAGTGCCCACGAAGGAACAAAATACTTACACACAACTCTCTCTAAAAGTCGTTCAACATCTTCCAAATACGTCTTGATCGATGCGCTCTCTAAGTACCACAGTTTACATATTCCATTGCAATCTAACAAGTTTTGTAAGAGCAAACGTGTTATAAACTGCATTTTTCTCCCGGCCTCACAGCCGCCATGAATACATTCTAGAACCTGTCACCGTTTTACGCATCCGAGGTTCCTTGTCTACCCCCATCCTTGTCCGCGGCCCTATATCTAGATTCTTGTCCTCAGAGTTGCATCTGATCCCATTAAACGTGTATCACTAACAGAAATGCAACCAAAGTTCTCCTTGCATCGCCATGTAGTACTACCTCCCTATATGTATGTCTTGTACGGCCCAGCAATGACAGAGCTCCGAAATAGCAGAGTGCGTGGATGCGCTGGAAGAAATAACACCGCTCGATCGGTTTGTTATGGTTATGGCAATGATTGCATATCAATATATCTATGATCAGATTTGTCTAGGACTGGACGTTCATGGTAACCTGTTTGATGCCAGGAGCTGACCATTGTTCAAAGATCACCTATTTTTCGTACATTCATCGATTCATATCATGGAGAAATGCACATAAACACGAGAATATGGCATGTAGGTTGAAAGCACGGCGTTGAAAAGGTTAAAGAAATGTAGGACGCCGCCAGGACTGAGTTGAGGTTTCCACTGTGTAACCCCTAGGGATCCAGCTGCATGTCCACATGTCTCTTCATTTATGGACCTAGGGAGATGAATCGAAAAAGAAAAAATAAAAAAAGAAAAAAATAAAGGCAGAAGGATGTAAGAAAGGCGCTGAGACTTCACCTTAGTATAGGCTTTTGAACATAGTTAAAACTGCCATATACAGCTGATGTAACGGCGGGAGAAAATATCGACCTAGGGACAAACCGATAAAAAGCCAGTTTCAAATCGAAACTCCACACTAGTTCAATAGAAGGGAAAATAATGTTCGTACTACGAACAAGGCGTGGAAAGAAAAGACACTCGCTTGTACAATTCCGACAATTCAGATAGTGAAAAAAAAAAGGTAAACACAAGCATAACAAATGACACTCCGTGTGATGTGTCGTTTTAATCATTTATATATTCACTTAATCGTATGCTGTCCAGAGCACTACAAAGGAGTAACAAGCCCGAAATCTTATGTCCCAAATCATCTACCTTCAACACTCTCGACATCGGAAGGAACAAAACAAGGCTGTATATCGCTGCTGTCCTGGCGCGGAACCATGGGCCGGACCCGGGTACCCACGAACCCACGGCGGTCGCGGCCCGTTCGGCCCCGGCCAAGCCAGTTATGTTTAAGCTCTTTGCTGAGAACTTCAATTTTCTCTTGCGCTTCATCGTCTGTCTGCACACTGGCTAGAACGCTTATGCATTGGAGCATGCGGCCGACGGTTTCTGTGATGAGATGCGATGAGTCTGTGGATTTAGAAATAGTGCGGGAGGGCAGTGTTTGTGATATTGGGGATAGGATTGAGTTTTGGGGTGGGGAGAGGGATGTATATGAGGTTGAGGTAACGTTTTCGGGATTCGAGGTGTTAGATGCAGCGCGGCTACGGGAAATGGAGGCGGCAACAGAGTCAGAGGAGAAACTGCCTGCATTGGTTAAGAGGATAGAGGATTGGGAGTTGTAACTTCCAAAACCAGAATCGAGCGCTAAGGAGGTACTGGGTCGGTTGTTTGAGGTTGTGCTGAGTGCACTGACATTTACATGGATGCTTTCGAGACTGAGGTGTGAAAATGTTGCCTTTAGGACCTCGTAGCGGGGGAGGATAACGTAGTCGCGGAAGGAGATTAGGACTATGGTGCGGACATCAAGTTCATCCCCCACAGACTTGTTCGAAGTTTCGCCGTCTGGCAATGCGCCCCAGAACTCTTTGGCTTCGCGATTAGTCATGATTGAGCCATGTCCTTTAAACTCCAGATCCAAAGGGAGAAACACGGCTTGGATGAAAGGGAGGACCGTTCCAAATACCAACAGCCACATCTGGACGAGATGTGGAACAACGCGTTCATCTGGAACGGAATGGAGTGAGTGGCTTAGAGAAGTAAATCCTGTTTGCAGCAAGTCTCGTAGATCCTCCACAATGACAGATGGCATATATTTTAGCACGCAGCGTTGTATGTGTATTGAAACCAACTTATTTAGATCCTCTAGCGCAATGCGGATATCTTCACCATCAAAAAGCACCAAAAGCTTCGCCTTTAGGAAGTCCCATACATCTTCCGGGGCCATGTTCTGAAGGCCAAAGCCTTGCAAGGCTTCTTTTAATGAAGCCTCCCCACCATACACAGTGGGTGCTACGTTTCCTAGTGAAAGAGGAGCCCCATGAATGGATAAAGGACTAGCTCCAACCGTCCCGTTAGCCATCCAATCATCTGCATCTCGATATGCAAAATCTTGAGCTGCAGCAGCAGAGGCTTTTTCTTCCTTCTTCTTCTCTCGTAAAGCCCGGCCTCCATGGCGCAAGTCGAGTCCACTTTTCGATTTGCCAAAGGATGTCGATGGTGATTGGGGTGTGAAGGAGTATAATGACTGAGGAGCGCTGGGATCTAGAGGTTTCGAACTACTCAACGCAGAAGATAAGGTCAAATGGAAATGATCATCTTTGTCCTTCAACTTTAACTTTTGTCGAGACAGGAAGTGGTGTTTGTGAACTTTTTCCTTCTCCTTCTCTTTGTCCTTTTCTCTCTCACCTGTGATCGGCCGGTCAGCAAGGACTACCGTTGTGGCAGACGAGTTTGTCAGGTTATACATCGAGGAGTTGGCAGAGGTGGAATATTCATGAAGACTGGTAGTTGAGGCATTTACCATTCGTGACAAGCTACTGGGGCCCGGTAATTGGAGTTTGTTTGGGGATGATACAGGCTTGTTTTTATCTGTATCCTTATCCCTTGATAGGCCAATATGTTTAGGTTTCGAGAATATCTTCATCTTAGACTTCTCTCCCTTGTGTTTATGTCCACTCTCCGAAAAATGATCGAAAATCGGCGATGTGGGGACAAAGCCGGGGCTTCGGGGGAATGCAACATTAGCAGCAGTTGTTGCTGCGAGAACGCGTCCCCCAACCAACCCATTTGAGTATTGGTGGCCAGCAGAAGCTTGAGTAGTAGTGTCTTTGGAAACTTTCCTCCCCACATTTTCCTGCAAAAGTCCACTTGATTGTGACCGGTTCCGGACGTGATGTGAACCCTTCTGGTGCTGCATTGCAGCTTGTGCGGCGATTTGAGATGCGGAAAGGTTTGCCATGGCCGCAGGGGTTTGTTCAAATGATGACGCAGTGGGAAGAGAAGGTTCAAAAAAGCCCTGAGAATGTTGACGCGGTCTATGTTTCTGGACTTCCTGCGGAGGAGGTAGCGGTAGGGTTTTTTGGGATAATTGATCGTTCGGAGACATGAAAGACCCCGACGGTCGCGAGAAATTGGGAAGTGAAGTGTTACTATTATTGGCACTTGCCGACGGTAATCGCGGTAAGCCAGGACTGGACATTTGAGGTTTTGCACCGTAGAAGGGCCGCTTGGGCACATTCAGGGAGGTAAGATTGGACGAAGTCGATGAGGTATCGCTACTGGAAGAACTAGGCCGTGCAGAGAGATCGGTTGCTACAACGCGATCGGGAGAGTCTGGTGTTACAGGATAGCTCAGATCTGCACGGCGTAGGGGTAGACCCCGGCTATTCATGGTGGGCACGCAAGCAGACGATGGGACAGATGTTGGTTAGTTTGGTTGGCCGGTTGGTTTGGCTCAGGACATTCACAACCAGAGAATGGAGAAATGGGGAGGGAAAGATAGAGGTCGCATTGGACCGCTCCCTTGAAGCACTATAGCAGCATCACCAGTATACGCATTGCTGTGCAAATAGATGTGTTTGGAGCTGTGAGCCCTCCCCCACTGCATGGTTGTCGTCGTTGTCGTTATACAGCAATTGGATGAAATGTCGTTTGCCTGGCTGACTAAGGCAGACGTCAGATATATCACGTGATATTAATGAGCTGCGTAGGTATGTACCTATCCATAAAGGAATAGGTGGGACATACATAGAGATGGGATCATGGATGTTCGATCTATGAGACCAGGTTCTTTCTGGGCTCATGTGTTGGCTCATTCATGGTGGCCACCATTGTATTTATTTTGGACCAAAAACCCCTGCCTAAGTATGTCCCTGCTCTTAGAGACTTTATATAGCCCTAGCTCTCCCAATGCAGTCGCCAAAATATAATAATCGGTTCGGAATACATAGTTTACACTGGTTCAAAATCACATTTTACCCTTCCAGTTCGAAAATCTCGATACGCTGGCTCAGTTGCCCCTCTGGAGATTCTAACGCTGTGAAAACAGTAGTTATGGAATCCGTATCTGAAACACCATCATCGTCCTCGCCACTATCGGCCGATTCTCTACCAACATCAGGTTGCACTTGTTCAGGCCGATTTCTTGCCATTGAACCCACAGCCTTTGTACAGTTGGGAATCTCACCACCATCCCCGGCTCCAACCCACCTATGAGCCTCTAAACGGGAAGGCGTTTCATTTTCTGGATCAATTAGGCCCGGCGTCGGTATTGGTATTGTTATATTGGCCCCCGTGACATCCACTTCCCTCAAGCGTAGAATTCTGTTATCATCTAGGTACGTTGTCGTTCTTCCAGAGTCATGGGTTCTTTCTTGTTCTCTGGGGTGCCCATGGGGAATGTCCTTGGCAGTGGTGTCCGCGAGTTCTGCTGGTGATGAAGAGCACACTGGAAAGGGTGGGGCGGGGACAGCATACATCGGTGTAGCTGATATATCCTGTGGCTGCCATGGGTTTTGGATGATATCCGGTATGGTGGTATAAGGTGAGTGTGGAACGTAATGGTGTATTTGAGGAAGTGTCAGACGGCCGTCTCTCACTTGTTGAATGATGTTTTCCACATGTCTTTTGTTTTCCTGAGATATCGGTGCGTTGTGGGCAAATCGCATTTCAATAAACTTGTGGAATTCACTAGTACCCACAGTTAGGCGGTGGTGGCTAAAGAGAATCTCAAGTACCTGCGGATGACCGTAATGGGCAGCATAGAGAAATGGATTCCACCCCTTTTCATCATTCTCAACTGGGGATGAGCCATTAGCGAGCAGGAGAGATACGATAGACGCATGTCCCACTTCCGAGGCAATGCAAATCGGAGAATCTTGAAACATCCTATCAGCAAGGTTCATACGCGCCCGGGCGCCACACCTAAGTAATTCTTCTGCGATTTCAATATTCCCGTGCCTGCAGGCGATACAAAGAGGTCTAATGCCTGCAGAATCTACGGAATCAACAAAGACTCCTTTCTGACACAGAAACCTGGTCAGTTGAAGCGAACCAAGAGAGACAGCAATGTGTATCGGACGGTGTTGATGACCATCCACTTGTGCTTCTATATCGGCTCCCGAAGCCACCAGAAGCCGCACGAAATCTATTCTATTTGCATTACAAGCATAATGCAGGGAGGTGAATCCCTGGCGGCATCGAACTTCCTGTGGAGCGTTTTTGCGAAGAAGAAATTCAACAACCGCAAACTGCTTATTCATTGTAGCTAGATGGAGAGGGGTTCGTCCTTGAGAATTCTGTGAACCGATAGGCGCCTTCATCTGAAGCAGGAGATCAACAATTTCCGTATGTCCATTAAAAGCCGCCCAGTGGACTGCGTTCATACCATGTTCATCTTTGCTCCGAGGAAGTGCTTTCTTTCGAAGCAAGAATTCAGTAGTTAGAAAGTGACCAGTAGCTGCTGAACATATCAGGGGAGTCATTTGGTGGGCCCCAACAACTTCGACGCTCGCTTTCTGGTTGATGAGCAACTCTAATACTGCCACATGGCCTCCCTCGCAAGCATGATGAATGGCAGCCATCATATTTACATCTTTCGCTTCGATATCAGCTCCATAGCGGAGTAGAAGAGCAGTTATTTCCTTGTCGCCATTCTTTGCAGCAACGTGTAATGCCGTCATTTGATCCGCCGCTCGGGTATTAATCTTGGATCCATGGGCAAGGAGCATCCTAGCTGCTTCGGTGTGGCCGTAAGCTGCAGAAAGCCAAAAAGCTGTCATGCCATTGGCATTTTTCAAGTCCACATCAGCGACTTCTTCCAGAAGCAGACGTAGGACATCAGTATGACCCCTCGATGCTGCTAAATGCAAAGGCGTTGATAGTGTCGCATCTTGGACATCAATATTTGCATTATGGTAGATTAGCAGACGAACGATATCGTCTTTGCCACAATGTGCGGCAACAAGCAGGGCGTTTCGTCCCGTCTCTGCATGGCGCGCTTCTATGTCTGCCCCGTTTTTGATGAAATTTTCTACTTCGAGCGTCGCGCCAGATTGGGCGGCTTTCACAATAAGGGGAGGCATTATACTGTCCATCGATGTTAAGTTAATGCTAATGTTCGATTCACTGGCACGATTTCTACGTTGCTTTGCTGATCCAGAAGTTGGGGAAGCACCTGTCATGGGAGACGCCCTTACGCTCAAGTTAGCACGGCTTGTGGTATTTAATCGTCGCAATGCAGACCGAAGTTTGTCCGTTGTCGATCCGGAGGACTTCTGTATAGAAGTCGATGCAGCGGACTTCGAGCGTTGTACGTTGACCTTATTGTTGAAAGAAAGCGATCGACCGAATGAGGTAGTTTGACGTCTTGAAATGTGGCCTTCAGGTTGTAACGAGATGGAAGGTTGGGCTCCCAACGAGTCCTCGCCAATAGACTCGCCAATAGTAGGGCTTAAGTAGCTTGACAGGGTCCGGTTCGGAGTCCTTGTTCTAGCTGTCCCGCTCGCATATCCTTCATCGGTTCCGGACATTGTAGTCGACCTAGAATTATGGCGTTCCGGCAACACGACCTGCCTTCTAGCATCCCGTTGACTTTTTTGCATAGCACGCCGATAGGGGGCCTCATTAATGAGAATCTGATCAAATTCAAACACAGTATCCCCAGTGCACGATCCTCTAATGCTGCTAGCAGTTTCGTCAGTTCGAGAATTTGCTGCGCTCATTGACGAGCGTAATGTTGCAGTGTCATCCGAAACTCTTTTGATAATGTTACGGTTTTCCTGTCTTCGAAGGAGTTCAAGCTGTTCTGACGATGTGCGACTAGGAGAAACAAGTCTTAGATGATACTTATGATATCTAAGTCGCGAGTTAACGGGTGTGTTCGAAAAGCCACCTACCAATAGCATGCCTGTAAAAGTAATTGCAATGCAAGGACCTGGGCATGCAGTCTCTGAGCGTGCTCTTTCATCAAGCCCTCATTCCACAATACTTTGACTTTGGCGCAGAGGCGCAGAGGTTGAGCTTCCTCATCATCCGATGATGGTGCTTGTGTCAATTGGGCAACCTCTTCGGAAAGAACATCCATCACAGCGGTACAGCCGTCTATGGCGACATCCAACCCGTCTATATATTCAGGGTGCTTTGGAGTCCCATTTGAATTATATTTGGCCAATTCATCAAGCTGGGAAATGGCGGCCTTGATTGTCAGCAGCTCAGCAATCATGGAATTGAGTGTGAAGTCTGCATTTCTGTATTTGCCGTGGAGTGTCGAGAGGCCATGGACCGTTTTGGTAATTAGGGTAGTGATTTGAATGGCCCCTCCAATGACACCAACGATGGAGACCGGATCCATTGGCGACGAGTAATCATTGCCCCCTCAAGGCGACTGTACATTGATATCGAGAGGCTCAAAAAAACATCACAGGAGTCATTTTCACGCGGAGAGCGAGAGAGTTTTGCGAATCGCGGATTGAACCCATGCTTACATTAGTTAAAGTAGCTGAAGGGACGCGGTATGGTCCTCGCGAAGATACACATAGAGGCTGAGTTGTGCGACAGGATCCCGGGACGCACATTGCGTAGGTGGATTATTGACCAGTTACATGAAGAACAGCTCCAGGGTTGGTTTTAGTTGCATATCCCATGCTAAATGGGATTTATCAGAGCAGACTGTGGTGGCTGTGTACGCAATGTTCCCTGCTTCGTTGCCACAGTCTCAAAATCACAGATCAGCCTCAATATCTAGTTGGTTCGTTAATAACTAGTAAAAGTTGGCCAGTTAGTTATGTTGGATCCTGGACAAAATCAATAAAATAGCTCCTCCGAGGTATTTCGTATGTAGAACAACGACGCGGACAACAATTGCTAGCCGCGCCGTATATATCCAAAGGTGAGCATAGTTAGATAACGTTATGGTTGGTGTCATTATTTACTTAAATCTCAAGTTACTTTGGAAGCTGAGGGACGAGTAGTTTAACTAAGCACAAGAATCACGTGTTGCTTCCAATATCTACAAGGGCTGCCTAAAGTCCCATCCACCATATCCACCACTGCCAACATTCATCAATGCTACCTCCAACAACAACTAAATATCATAGAAGCAACCGATCGGTATCGATTCCGGGGAATAACCTCAAGGAACCCTCCGTGATAATCCAACAACACCGCATTAAACAGCTGGCATAACCCACAGCCGCCAACAATGGGCCCCCTGACTAATACCCCATCAAATCGTCCCTCCGTCTTGCAAGCAACATACACAGCTCCTACTACATCTCCAACCTCCCAAATATCCCCTAAACCGGAGCAGACATACACGTTTGCCCACCCGCTTGCTTCTTCCCTGTCCCGGAGTCCCTCCGGTACCCACAATACAGCCGCAAAGACAGCCTATCTCTCAGAGCTTCGTGGGGCAGTGAGCGTGTTACAGACGGAGATAAATGAATTTCTAACTGCACGCATGGAGGAGGACAGCAATACCAATCGACGATCGGCAACCGATGGCGTAGATGAGACGAAAAGGGAAAGGGAGAGGAAGGAAGAGGAGAATTACGGAGAAGAGGTCCTGGATGATGAGGATTGATTGATCATGCAGCATGCGAGGAATACCACCTCACACATAATAAATCTAACGGTATTAGCTTGCTAAGGGGAATTCCCTCATTCTGGTCTTCCCCGGATACCAGCCATGGGGTTCATTTCCACGAAACTGGAGCTATACGGGCACTGGCTGTTAAAGGGACTTAGTTGTATTTGCAATTCAGAAGAGCCTGGCAACTAGCTACCTTCCAAATGAACAGAGAATAAAGAGAACAACGTTGCAGAACGAAAGGCGAATGGGTATCAAAAGTGCTTTGGATGCACAAAAGTGGGGACTGGAGTTGCAAGGGAGTAGATTTTGTCACCAACAAAAGCAACAAAGAAACCACGAAAATAAAACTAGGTGAAGGCCAAAAAAAAAAAAAAAAATGTATCCATCCGCCTTTCTATGTCTAGAATGGAAAGAACTTGCGAAAAAAAAAAAAAAAAAAAAAAAAAAAAAAAAAACCCGGGTTATGAGTTATGGTTTATTATATGCTAGAAAACACTTTTCTGCATTCTTACATTTCCATTACCTGATTGCATCCGTTCACTTATGATCCGCCAGCGGTACTCCATTTACCAGCACAACCAAGATGAACGACCGTATTGCTATTCATAAACGAATGAGTTAGGATGTTCTCTAGCCGTAAAGAAACCACATGGACTAGGAGGAGACGGAATATGCAGAAAAAGAAAGAAAAGAACATACTTTGGAAACACACTAATAACACTTCCACCCAACCGTTTATGGCAAACGCCGCAGACCCTCTCCTCACTGATAGTTACGAACCGATTGCGGCCCTTATTATTCCCCGCCATAGTCTCTTGCCCGAGCTGCAGGTCAGCCTGGACATGGGCATTTTGCACTTTGCGCAGTGCGGCGACAATCCGGCCTTCATTCGCGATCGAGTTGGCAGCGCGCATGCGGCCACGAAAGTAGAATTCTAGCTCGTGGACCGGGAGTTTTTCTGGAATCAGATCGAGGGTGGAGCTAGCGGGGAGCCGAGAGCCGTGCTTTGCAAGGATCTCCACAGCTGGGCCATATTGGGGTTTGTAGTTGTGCGGCGGGGATAGGTAAAGAGAAAGGAGGGTATGGTAGATGGATAGCTGGCCATCTTCGAGGTCTGTGGGGGCCACGCGCTGTGCCATGTCTGTATTTGTAGATCGAGTTTCTTCACTTCGATGAATGTGGTTGCAGTATCTGAATTGAATTAGATGCTGAGTTTGAGACACCTTTTCGAATGGAGAAGGGAACATTGAACTCACTCTTCAGCTTTCTCTGGATCCTCCAATTTGAATACGTAGATTTCTAAAGCTTGTCTGTGCTGGCCCATTTTTCTGAAGATAATAGCTCGAGCTTCGAAAAAATCGGGATCTATTTCACTCCGGCGTTGGTTAGTTCAAGTCCACTTGTAGAGAGAATAGTTTTTAAGAAAGAAGAAACGGACCATTCCTAGGTAACCGGTCGAGCATTCTAGCCGGCGAATACTGTTCACTGCTCTTCAACATGTCCTGAAACTTTTCCATACCCTTCCTCCACTCATCCTCACTTTCAAACTCCTGCTGAACACTAATATCACCCCCTTTCCATTGCTTGAGCCTCTCAAGATATAATGAGAGCAACCACTGATGCATGTCCGGAGACATCTCATTTAACTCCCCAATGATATGCTCCAGATACTGGATAGCAAGGTTCGAATCAATGCCTCGCAGAAACTCCAGAACCTTATCCCGTTGGAGTGATTCAGCATTCTCCGTATCTGCCAAGAAAATCTCCATACCCAGCTGTGGCTGGGCCTGCATAGGCCACTCAGCAAACTCGAGGATCAAATCAATCATTTCCGGCGGGAGATTTTGTAGGTATGCGACGGTCCGTTCGGGGCCACAGAGCTGAGGTGCGGCTGTGAATTTTTCGTCCTTCTCGGCTTGGCCGAACTTGCGAAGTCGTTCGAGCGCGGCTCTGTGTAGCTTTTTGCCAAATAAAAAGTCAATTAAATCATTGTAGCGACCTGTTTCTTCGAGTTTTTCCATCACAACGTCCGGGTCGCAGAAATTGGCGATGCGGAAGAGGGAACCGGCCAGTGACGGCGTTGCAAACATGTGGGCACGGAATAGAGTTGTATCAACGAGGGTGGCTGTCTCACGGAGCTTCACTGCAATCTCATCTGGATTATCGTATGGAGACAGGCCGAGTACGTTCCTAACTGACTGGGCGAATTCATCGGTCTCATTGTTGAGCTCCATAGCCAAGGTCGTGATGGTTCCATCAGGGTTGAGGAATCGTTGGAGTCTTCGACGTATATCTGCCAGAAATCCCTGGAGAGCGCGTGCGGCAGATTTCAAGTCTTTGCCCTCTACACGGATGTCAGTATCATAAATGAATATACAGCAGAGACGGGATATTCCAAAATCTTACGTAACGGCTTGTCCGCGAATTTTACTCCTACAGGCTTTCTTCGAATACTACCCGTTTCACTTGCGTCATCGGATTTCCCTTTCAAAATTGATCTCACTGACGGAGCGTATCCTGCAGGAGTTTTGGATTTTGGTGAATTTTCTGCTGCATCCTCCACGCCATTAATCGTAGTGCCATTGGTATTCTGAGGTGTTTGCTCCTCGGCGTCAGTCTCTTCCTCGTCACTTTTATCCTCGTCTAACTTGGAGAGTGACCCAGCAATAAGTCTAGGATATTTTCGAATGACCAGCTCCGGAGGAGCGCATGCCTCTGTAAATAGATCTAGCGAATCACGGTACTTTTTTTCATCAAACAAAGCCTCTGCCTTCTGCAGCTTCGCTTGCCGAAGCCTGCCCTGTTTATCCCTCAATAGCGCGTCCTCTAGCATGCTGATTAGAGTGATCGCTTCATCCAGATACCCTTGCTCGATAAGTGAATCTATTTGCGAGTCGTAATCCAATGCTCCCATTCTCCAGATGATGCGTTCACTACCAACCAGAAATCCTTTCCCCGCATGTGCTAGGCTTATTGTGGGCTGTGGTATATGTAACATACTTGCTGACGGTAGGGAAATTGACTGAAGTAGGGATAGTGTTTCGGGGTTTCGGACCTCCAGTGTTCCCTTTGAAGGCTCTTGCAATGCTAAAAGATATGGGTAAGAGTAACCCACAGCTTCCGGGGCCGTAGTCCATGGAATTTGCCTTCTGCCCAGCGAGTTACCGTCAGTATCGATAAAGTGTGTATTGACATCCTTCGCCAGCAGGATTTCTCCATCACTCAGTCTCGTCGCTAAGGGCTTTGGTGAAGCACCCCCCATGCCAATGTAGCTCATGCTCGCAACTCCCACCCCGAGTCGGCCCGTCTCTTGTCCTCCAGGTCCGCCAATACTTCCGGGCCCTAAGATCTCCGTTACTTTCAAAGATTCCACATCGACCATTACATAGCTCGAACTAAGCCCCGCAACGAGTTTTGTGCCGTTTGCCCACGTTAAAGTCTTAATTCCACTTGCCAAAGTGATTTCTGTCATATCATGCTCAAGTTCCATATCCAGCCACATCCATAGCATCAGCTTTCTCTTAACCGCCACGGCTAGTCTAGAAACTATCGATGGTACACCAGTGCTGGGATCCTTGATGATATTGGAGGCAACAGCAAATGCAGTTGCACCCTTTGTTCTCGTCAACTGTTGTTGCAACTCATAGGTCTGGAGGTCATGGATAGAAACACATCCATTCGATAATGATATAAGAATCCCCGCCTCTTTGATAATTGCCAACTGCTCTATTTTATGTCGTGAAAACTTCTCCTGCTCTCGAAGCAGATCTGTAGGTTTTACTTTCGATACGTCCACGCTCTCCGAAGTTGCCCTGTCCCGGTTGCCGTTATAGCTTCTGCCACTGGTTTCTAGCCCTCCCTCCCCATTTGTATTGGCACCCTCGGATTCATTGTGCGCGTTTTCTGATTCATTGATACGGTATATTCGCAGAGTGCCCGTATTTAGTCCCACAAGTAATCGATCACCGTATGCTAGGAAGGACTCGATCCTCGACTTGTCACGCTGCTTGAGCTTGACGAGAGGGCTGGCCGTGAAGGCCGACAACATGGTTCTTTGGTATCTTCGTTATCAACAACTGTAGCTAGGAGCCTATTGGTAAAGTAACATTGGTCGCAATGATACCTAAGCATTTAGCTGGACTGATGAGAAGCATAAATGATGGAGGAGCTCTATCATCTCAACGTTACGCTAACTCGGGGATCGATGGTGTAGCATATCATGTCCATGAGGGTGAAGAAGTGTGCCTAAATGCGCAGTCTCCCATTTTTTGGTAAATCAGTGTTTGCGACAGGATGTCATGTCGGCTTGAAGAGATGGAGTTGGACGGATTAAATCGTCATCATTCATCGTCATTTGATCCATCATATCCAAGTTATCCCCAATTGGTGGTTAGTCAGCAGAATCCAGAGCTCTGGTCTCGATCCTCCAATACACACACAACTATCAACCTCCATCTAAACGAGGAGATGCATGTAAAAATTGACAATGCATGCTCCTTACAGTCGGAATTGACTTCTTATTCCCGGGACTCAAGTTGCTATGGCATATTCTGCAAAAATGATGAACGATCGGCCCTTCACCATTACTAATGGCGCGGAATCCTTGATTGATGGACCTCTACAAGATCCTTGACAGACCCGACCAAGTTTTCTAGAAGTTCAGATGATGAGAATATTTATCAGCAGTCACCTATTTTTCCTGTTTAGTGTTCTTCAGACACCACTGTTCTCAAAATGCGTATTCCCAGAGCATCTCGCCTCACCTCTCCGCCGCGATATGTAATCGCGGCAGTCATTGCCTCCACGGGCGGTGTTCTCAATGGGTGGGACATATATTTCCAACTATTAATGGCCCATTTGTGGTGATTAATGAGTGTTAAACCGACTCATTTCTCAGTCTCGATACGGGTGTGATCGACCCTATCACTACCATGTCATCGTTTACAGATGAATTTGGGCATCCATCGCCTGCAATTCACGGCATGATTGTTTCTTCAATCTTGCTCTCAATGGCAATAACTTCCCTGTTCGCTGGTTCTATTTCTGATAACCTAGGAAGAACTCGCGCAATAGCACTAGGAGCCCTGCTCTATGCAATTGGCGCTACTATTGAAGCTGGTGCCAGAATCCTAGGGGTCTTCCTATTCGGACGGCTTGTTGCTGGAGTCGGGGAAGGATTCTTCCTGAGCACCTTAGTCGTGTATGAACCCAAGTGCTTTTCTATCATTCTTCCGAAATGGAGGTTTTTAGTTGAGATGGCGGGGCTCTATGCTGTGGCATGAAAGGGATATCGCTAATCTTGTTGACGAAAGCTACATTTGCGAGATCTCCGCCGCCAACCATCGCGGGCTTCTCGCCTCACTCATACAGTTCTTCATTACCTCTGGCCTTGTGATGGGCTATTTTTCATGTTATGGCACTGTTAGCATCCAGTCCAGCTTTTCGTGGCGATTCCCGGTCGCCATGCAGTCTGGAATCGCACTGTTCCTGACAGTGGCCTCGCTTTTCTATCTCCCAGAATCACCGCGGTGGCTTTTTCATCACGGTCATGGAGCCGCCGTGGAAGCGGCTTGTATCAGACTTGGCATCTCTATCATTGAAACTGATAATCTAGTAGAACGGGAAGAACATTCGCATGGGCACCGAAATGAGGAAGAGTCGTCAACACTTGGTGCACGGCTGAGAAAGAATTACAAGCATAGTATCCACAATTTAAGGCTAGTCTGGGTCCTGGATCACGGAAGCAGGCGCTTCTGGGTGTGTTCTTGATGTCGATGCAGCAATTAAGTGGAATCGATGGGTCATCTATGTATGCAGATACCTCCAATATCCATTCCAGATGTGCCTATTACTCTATCTCTGTGCCTCTTTATTTCAGGCTTGGACATCAGGGCTGACTTGATGCGAACAGCATGCCCCTCTACTTTTTAAGCAAGCCGGATTATCCTCATCGACAGCTTCCTTTCTGGCTTCAGGAGTACCCGCTATCCTCCTCTGTCTTGCTTCTGTCCCCGGCTCTCTCTACGCTGACAAAATAGGGCGGCGTGCGTCCGCATTGTATGGGGGATCCATTCTCGCGGCCATCATGGCTTTAATTGGTAGCCTTACGCTTCAAATAGCGTTCACGCGGTTTCAGGCGCCGGCAGATGGGTCGTTATCGTCTCGATATATCTATTCTCAATAACTTACAGCATGGGTTGAGAGTCCCACCCATTTCGTATTGTGCTGTTTAAAAAATTAGCCGCTGTCCAATGCAACTAGCAGGAGACGCACCAGTGGCTGGAAAAGTCTTCGTCAACTTCCACACCGTATGACGTACGCAGCTGAAAACGGAAAAGCTGCACACGATCAGCGCCTATATAGAGATATGTATAGAGAAAGGGGGGGGGGAACGCAGAGCACACACACAAAGCCTGGGCACTTGGTCTGAAAATATACTCAAGCGAGATTCAATCCGTCTCAGCAAGAGCTACTGTGACAAGTATTGCGCAGAGCGCCAATTGTGTAAGTTCTTCGGTTCCATTTCAAACTACCTTCATCTGCTAGTTAACCAATTTCTTCGTCGCCTACATCACACCCACACTCCTCAACGCTTCCACCTTTGGCATGTACTTCCTCTTCTGCGGTTGCGTGGTGGTAACCGTGATAATTGGCGCGCTCTACATGCCCCAAAACACGCGGGCGACCTCTAGAATCGATAGTCTTCAGCCACCATTCGGCCAGGTCCACTGCCTTTATGAGATTGTTGCTGCGTTGTGTGGCATTCTTTCTGGATTTCTTTCGGCCACAAGGCCCTAGAGTTGCGATTACAGGAACTAGAGAGCCAGTAGTTTTGGAATTGGAGACGAGGCAAGAATGATATTCCTCAGTGCCCATGTCCTAGGACCTTGTCGCCCAGAAATTGTTGAGTTCCGGCAACTTGGTTGATATCCCTGTTAGAGCGGTTTACCAGAATACTTGGGAGTATTCTATGTCAAGCGATGACCTTATGCACGATGGCCTACGTTAAATCGATATTTTAATTTTTGAAAGTGTACCGCCTGAGGCACAGATAGGCACCACGGATTTCATTCATTTATTTGTGTGTAGCCAACAATGTCATATAGGAAGATCACTCTTCCCATTGATGAATGATTGGATAAAGTGAGGTATCATTTGCTCTTCATTTCTGCCTATTTATAGCTTTGTCAGTTAAAGACATAAGGGTCAAGGGTCACTTGAACAGTACAAAAAATGACAAGTTTGCACGAAACGACACAATTCGCCCGCCACGTAGTATTTTGACAACAAAACCTGGGCCTCCATCCTGATGTGTGCGTTGCAAGTATTCAAGGCAATTAAACTTCACCATTAAACATTCAACCTTCAACAAATAACAGATTAAGAAAACGCTTCTGTTCAAGCAACTGAAAAAAAAAAAAAAAAAAAAAAAAAAAAAAAAAAGAAAAGAAAAATAGGAAGAAAAAAAAGTGGATTAGAGATGTCAAATACGCCCACCGTAGCCCAGCCAACCCCTGCCCCTCCACATCTATATTTATAGTATGCCTTGGTTGTACCCGTTTTGATTTACCTCTCTTTCTGTATAGAAAACACGCCAGATCCGAAAACGCCGTAGCCAACCAAATGCATTCGGTAGCTCAAACCGATTCAAATAACCTACCTAGAACCGTATAACAGAAGACGTATAATTTTTGAACTGGCCCGCCTGAATGCCTCCATATATAATGCGATCCGCACACGCGTGTGGCGTGTGATGGACATATCCAGCATCACGCAGAGGGGGATCAATTGAGCTGAACCTTCGGCCCGTTTGGGCTCCCAGCAAGACTATATAAAAGAAAGGAAAAAGAGAGTAGAATAATTGTCAAGCAAAACAATAAAGAACAAAGAAAATCGAATCAAGAGAATAACAGGAGAAAGATAAGATATTGTGAAAGCGTGGAAAAGTGGAGATTTCACGTTGGAGGAAGGTGGTTGCTATGCGGTATATACGCTGCAGGCGACTGCATTGGGTTGGGGGCGGGGAAGGAAGTGGACCGCGAGAGGTTATAAACCAAGGACAGAGGGTGGGGGAAGAGCCTTAGCAAAAAGTAGATGTCAAACTGCCGCGCAGAGCGAGCTCTCTACTGCTGTTGTTCTTCGGGAAGTTGGTGTTTCGCGGAGGAGCCCTTTCCACGCCATGTCGAGACTGCCGGTATATTCGCCTTGAAGCGTTGTTCCTCCGTCCCATATGCGCGGGGCGTCAGCTTGATAAGGGTATGGAGAGGAACTTGCATCCAGGGACTCTGTTCCTGGGACATGTTCAAGAAGTAGGCGTAGATGCAACGAAGGACAGCCTGGTGAGTGACGATCATGACATTTTCGCTGCGCTCCAGCTCCATAATGATGGGTTCCAGCCGAATAACGACATCACGGTATGACTCGCCGCCTCTATAGCGGTAGTTGTATTTATCGTCATCGCGAGCTTTGAAATCTTCAGGGTATTTCTCGGCGATTTCTTCGTAGGTGAGTCCGTCACAGACGCCGGAATCGAGTTCGTCCAGTGCTTTCCATTCTAGTTTGTCATACCCGGTTTCTAGTGCGAGATGGCGAGCGGTCTGGATTGTGCGCTTTAGAGTGGAGGTCCAAATGACCAGTTTAGCTCCAGGCGGGACGCCAGACTCCTTGAGAAGTCGCGGGAGAGCACGGGCATACTGTTCTCCTCGCGAAGAAATGTCAGCATCGCCACCGATTCTGCCTAGCAGATTAAATTCGGATTCTCCGTGCTAGAAAAAATGATGTTAGTATAGAGCAACTTCGAGCAGTGATATTTTAACTACGCAACTTACTCGAGAAAGCCAGATCGAACGAGGTCGGATATGGAGGTTCTGGATATAATAAACTAGACGGCTGGACAGGTAATCTTTAATTTGATTGATGATCACAGTAGAGCTAACATTGATGAGTTTCACATATGCGTAATCCTTTTCATCTTCATCAATCGTCTCGTAGACTTTTTCATAATGGCGGATGCGGTTTCTGAAGTCCAGCGCAGCTAGCTCTGGGTCCTGACCAATGTAGTCTGGCGATGTCGTCTTGACTTCAAGAATGTTGCTCATGATGACCTCCTCATCGTCACATTGAGATTCGACGAACAGAGTTGCGATCCCAGCCTCAGCACAGGTGCGGTGGATCCATTTACGGCGGCTCTTGGTCGAGTTGGTTGCGTCTAAAATTGCTACTTGACCGTCGGTGTCGGCGAACCAGCGTAGCATATCAGTCAACGCTGCCTCCGCGGCAGCTCGTCGCAATCGTTCTCCGTCGGGATTGGAGGTGTCGAAGAAAGCAGCAGTTGGTTGAGGTGTATCTTGACGTCTATATTGGCCAACGTTGAATATTCTAGCGGGGATACCAACCCAAGCCAAGTAACGCAGAGCTATGGCGCGATGTTAAAAGAATATGCAAATAGAAAAGAGGGCACTTGTGTGAAACGCAAGGTTGCATAGCATACCTTTACCGGCGATTAAACTCTTGCCACGCGCTGGCAAGCCAACCATGACAACGCAGATCTTATAATCATCGTTCTGCATGGGAGAAGTGTTAGTATTGGGGGGTGAACACAAGCAAGAGGAAGAATTTTCAAAACGTAGACACGCCATCTTTGTTTGGGTAGTTGGTCGTCGTGGCAATTGAGCAAGGAGTTGATGGAGTGATTTTTCCGCAAATAGAAGTAAAGTGATAGCCAATTTGAAAAACAGAGGGGGAGAGATATAAAAGGATGATGGAACACAGACTAAGTGTAAAAGAACAAAAATACACGAATTTCAAAGAAGAGCATAAGGCTGAGAAAAAAGTTTTCGGACAAAGCACATGTGAGATGTGAGATGGTATGTTTAAGGCAGTGACATCGAAGTTTGAGCTATTACAAATAGCTGTCACTAATAGCCATCAGAGAAAGGCGATCTTTGTCATGAAGCTCAATCGAGTGTTGGTGATTGTCATTGCAAACACCTATTTTTAAAGCTGCTGCCATATAACTAGGGATAAGAAGTCGGCCAAATGAGGTTGAGATATGCAGATTGACTGTGTATGCCCATGCCTGCATGCCTTCTCCTTTTGTGGAATCTCTGAAGCAAGACACCTCGAATGGCCAAAAGGGCTTTCCTAGAGTGATAAAATAGGAAGATGGCAGTGATGGATGCTGGGGTCTTGCCGGTACCCCCGCCCCACAACCTGCTCCCGAGATATCGGATGTGCCGTTTTTAGCCCCAATTTTCAATATCATCGGTCAAATGTACTGGCCACCAAAGACTGAAGAAAATGCGCCTGGGTGGAGCCCTATTTGTGTCACGGAATGGACGTTGGTACAGTCCCTCCATCCGACACTAGGCTGTTGGCTCAAGTCGATGCCACGTTTGGACACAACCCCCTCCCCCCTTTGAATCGAAGGGAAACCGACATTGGGACAGTCCAGACAGACAGGGTGCACTCACTCTCACAGCCTGTCCGAGCACCAAGTCGGCAAGGACGAAAACAGGTCGGATGAATGCTGCACTTGGGCGAATCAGGGAAAGCAGGAAGTTGCCGTACATCTCGCACCCCGCACACCAGTGAGCACTGAAGAGCTTGGTCTGGACTTTGGCTGTGGTTATGAAGGAACCCCTCAACCATATGGTGAACTGAGGTGAGGCTTCAGGATGATTGGCAGCATGAGAAGCTCAGCCAAAGTTGACAGTGATGTTGTGAAATAGGGGCTTTCGAGGAATTCTGTTCCCTGCAATAAAGCTGTGTCAAGGAAACCAAAGGCCATTGTTCACCCAGTCTCATTTTGATGCATTCAGACAGAATTGGTTCAAGTGGCTATAATATATGTAACTCTGGGAACTCAGGAACTTGATAGCAAATCTTCTTCCTAATTCACAACCACCACTCCGGCGGGGGCTGTTACTGAAGATACGCCGCCCACTCAGCAGCAAGGTGGACATCCGGTGGGGCGTGACTTGTGGGGGTTCACATGACTGATATGACTTGCCAGCCCGCTGTTTCCTAGGCCTGGAGGAACAAGGAACAAGGAACAGGAGGGTACAGGGTACAGGGTACAGGGTACAGGGTTATTATAGGGAACAAGGACCTGGGGCTTGGGGCTTGGAGCTTGGGGCTGGGGCTTGGGGCTGGGGCTGGGGCTGGGGCTGGGCTACTGCACATGGACCGGAAGATCCCGCGTGGTCATGTGCCCACCTGCTGCATCCGATACCGTGAACACACAGCATATTGAGATTGAGGAGAGTGATGAAGCGGGGGATGAGCAGCTCAACTATCAACAACAAAACAACAACATGGAAGCTGGCTGGAGAGCTACATGCGAACAGAACAGAACAGAACAGAACAGCTCAATTGGCAATGCAAAACAAGACAAATTAAAATTAAAAAAGAAGAAAAAAGAAAAGAAAAGAAAAGAGAAAGAAAAAAAGAAAAAAAAAATGCCTGGAAGAACTGAACTGAAAGAAACACAGGGGTCAAAGAAGAAAAAGAAATAGCTTGGCTACCACTCACCGACGCAGAGAAGATCTTGGTCGTCGAAGGCCGACGGCCAGATTCACCAGACATGACGGCAGTGTTGTTGCGTGCTGCGTAGGGTTACTAGTCAGCCTTCAGATCTCCGTCAGCAAGGGATCGGGAGGAACTGCAGGCAGCGGGGTGACGTGACAGAGATGTGCAGCTACCTCACGGACCTAGGGGTAAGGCGAATGGTTTGTCTCGCTGCCTGGATTAATACATGGAGGAGGTAGTCCGAGGATTTAAATGATCGTTCCTGGATAGTTGAGCTCAGTTGGGTCCTTGGTGCTGCTGTTGTCGTTGAGCGGGAACGGCGCGACAGGATTGGCGGCAAAGACTTTCTTTAAAACCGCGAGTCGAATCGAAGTTGATTAGTTACTTGCTTGGGTTCTGGCTAGGAATGCGCGGGTATGCGAGATATCCCGAGACAAGATTTGGTAGTCCGGTTTAACTCCGCCAGGAACCGTGAGTTTATTTCGGGAGAGCCAAGTTCAAAGGGGTCCACTGGATATGGCGGGTTGTGTGATAAGGAACACCCCGAGCTGAGAGAGGAGAGAAAGATTGAAAACCAGAATAAAAGAGAGAGAGAGATGGGGACAGACAGTGTGTATTTGAGGAAACAAAATATGTGTAGACGGGTCCTTCAACCAGTTACGATAATCAGGTGAATCACAGAGAGAGATAAAAAAAGGATTCTCTCTTCAAAGGCTGTTATTTAATTAGAGCAATGTGTGAAATTTGCGCTAATAGGTATAATTTAATGGTTTAACTGTGTTTTCACCCCCATTCATTAGCTATACGTAGCAGGGAGACAAACGCCACATCCTCTCCGCTTTATTGCCACGAAGGGTCGCGTGAAGAGCCTCTTGGATGGATGACGTCACTCACATCGTAGAACAGCGATCAACCTCGGTGAATTTTGCCAAAGGACGGAAAAAGGGGGTTGACTTAATTATACACTGGGTGGAATATATTAACATGAGGTGCTAGATCCTATTCCTACACCGTTCATTCTTCTGGCTGGTTCCCAATTTCAAGGACGAGGCTGAAGCCCGTTTAGTCTCTCGCTATTTAGTTACTCTGAGAGATTCCTTAGATCCTTTTTCCGTAAGGCATTATTATAAATATCAGATGGGCCGAAGCATCACAGAAACGGGGGTAGCCTGGCAGGCTGCGAATAGAAAAAGCTAAATTAATTCATGGGGAATCCAGCGAAAATAGCAAGAAAGAAGCAGGCAAAAAGTTTGTTTCTTTTTAAAGCCCAATATTGCCTTGTCTTGCCTTGTCTCCTCCTCATCTGCTCATCCCAAACCCATAACCTTCCTGTGATACTTTTGATAAAATTCGCCCCGAGTATTCAAAATCTCAATATCCGCCCTCCATCTCCACCCTTTCCCCTTCCTCTCCTCTACGGTCTGACCTAGCCTACCCTTGGACTGGCGCATCAACATCGCACCCCTCCCGCACAATATCAATCCGCAGCGGCGCGCGGTAGAGCATCATCCATGTCTACACGCCTTTCGCTGGTTTCCCTTCGCATCTATAAAAAAGGCTGGATTGACACAAATGCTACAACCAGGGCTTCAGTATTGGTGACGGTGCCATCTATTCACATCAGTTGAGAACAGTGACTCGAACGCCGCTGCAGTATCAAAAGGCTTTCTCATCGATGCCCTGTATGGGGACTACTGTGTACGTTACTGGTGTGGAAGTGCATTCGAGAATAGTAACTTTTCAGAAGCGCGCATTTAGAACACATCCGGCCGGGTTCGGAGTCAGAAGAAAAGTGGCCCGGGCCGAGGTCGATGTATCCCTTGCCACCACGCCGGTCGGGGACTTGACAACTTCCATCACGCCAAGGCCTAGCATGCCGTAGGCGGAGTCGTGGGTACCAGTGGCAGGAACTAATAAGCCGTTGGGGGCCGGGGATTGTGAAAAGGTAATTGTATGCGTGACTACAGTGGAGATGTCGGGTTCTTTGGGATCCATAATAATAGAGTCTGCCACCGGTTTAATAAACAAAGAGTAAGTGAGGTTTCAGATCACAATGACAGAGGGAGTGAGAAATCTTAGTTGTCATCCACTATGGGCCTGCTTGTGAGAAGTAAACACAATTTCCCGTCACCATGATGATAAGATAATATTCATGAAGCTGACCGTTCCCCGCCCTGTGATTTGGAAATCGGCAACAACTTCCAAGATCAGGGAGGGTTATTCCGCCGGAAAATTATCAGGCGTCTCAAGGGCGTTGTCGGCAGAGGAATTCAAAACGGTTATCACAAACAAAGTATCCACCATGGGCACATGTAGTTGGCTGGGGATCACTGAAGCTCTCTCCGGCAGTGTACTGCCTATAAACACGACAGGATCAGTAACCCTCTGTCCGGCCTGGTAGTAGGGAAAGCGGGACATGGAAACCTCTATGGATAAGAACCAGCAGGCGGTTCCTATGTAATACGCGCTGCCAAAGTGGACTTCCAGGAAGAAAACCCAGAGAGCGAGACAGCTACCAACTCATGTTGTGGCTGAAATATAAGCCCACCTTGTAGGGAGCGACAGAGCATGGAAGCAAGTAGATAACACGACGCAAAAGCGCTCACCATTCGATTATAGACACAGTTGGATAGTATATTTGGCAAAGTAGAGCAGCTTTTGTTGGGATAAACCCTGCATTGATGCATGGCCCTGGCCACTGACCCGTGATAGCAGAAATGTCTCAATCAACTGCAATGACGTCCTTTGCCTAGTTCCCAGTCCTTCAAATTCAGATGAGCAAACAGGAGCATCAAAATGCCGCCCTTATCTGTAGCATACAATGGCCCGCCATGAAAACTGTGATATAAAATATCTGATTGTTTATGAAGTCAACGTCGGAACACGGGGCAATTGCCAAGACGCTAGTGCAGTCAGCATATTAGCCTCCAAACAAATTATCTTCCGCTTCTTTAAACTTATCTAAACGATCTCTATATTTTTGCTCTGAATCTTCCTGTTTTTGAGTGCATTCTCAAACCGTTCTTTTTAATCATAGGAACACTGGGCTATCTGGGTTGTCATTCTGGAAGACGGCAGGCAATGTTTCGATGTCCCCAGACCTTTTAGGCATTCTCAAAACCAACCCCGCCTTCGCCCCATCATGAGGCTCTTTCTCATCCGCCACGCCGAATCCGAGCACAATGTTGCCCAGGTCTAGTATGAAGCATTTACTTCTCTCTTTTGTGATCTGTGTGCCAAGCGTGGGCCGGAGCTCATACTGGTCAATTTGTTTTCAGTGCAGGAACAACGGACTCGGCGTTGACAAACCATGGCATGGTACAAATTCAGCGCTTAGCCCTGCATTTTGAGGAGCAAGGCATCGAGTTTACCACAGTATTCTCGTCGGATTTGCTGCGGGCTCGCATCACTGCTGAAGGGATCTGTAGCCTTGTTGGGGGAGAACAGCAGAGTAGGGTTGGCACACAAACATCACCTGTCATCTTACCTCTTCTGAGGGAGAAAGACTTTGGTTGTCTGGAAGGAAAATCATGGCTTGCTATGCGAGGCGGGGATGGGAAATCTGGTACTGAGACGATGGCTGGAGACCCTGAATCTCAGGCTTCTATCGCTTCTCGGGTGGATATGTTCCTCACCAACCATCTGTTGCCAGTCCTTTACGGTATGGGTCATACCACACAGTCTGTTGCGGTGGTTTCCCATGGCGTCTTGCTCTCTGCGCTCTGGGAAGCTTTGTCTCGACTGTTTCTTTCAACACACGTCATCCTGGGCCCCAATGTTGAGGTTGGAAGACGCATTTCGTCGTGGTCCAACACTGGCTATTTAGAACTTGCTGTCGGAAGGTTGGTTGAAGATAAATCCTCAAATCCAGCTCCGGCAATGGTCGACGGCCAAGGGAACCGAAAGGATGCTTCCAACAAAACTCAAATGGTTGATAACGCTCCAACGCCGGCACTGTCTGGATATGCGATGACAGTCCTAACAATAAACGGGAAACAACATCTCCATAATCTCAGGCGCACTCCTGGTGTGGGAAGATCCAAACATGATGCCTCGCAAAAACGCATCGATAGTTTCTTTCAGAGGCCGAAGAATTAAGCTTGGCATCCTACGATACCACTCTTGATCGCCTAACACTGCTAACTGGTATGTTGTTCCATGCTCTTTCTGTTCAGCTATTCGTTTCCTTCCCTCCCTTACCTCATACCCTTGCACTTTACTATGATGAAGCAAATTTTCACACAGACCTGTTCTGAAACATGTATGTGGATAACAAAAAGTACCAACTGTTGTCTGACTCTTCCCTCCATTAATTCCTTGTCACCGCTCCACTCAAATGCAGATCATGCCCATGGATATTGACTAATCTGTGTAGAAGACTTTACGGATTGTTATATTTAAGAGGTGATGTGATAAATATTGAGCGTCTTGCTTTGATGGTTGTTCGCCATAAAATCAGCCAATCCCACTGCGGAGTGGTGTGAAAGAAATACTTAATAAAAACAAGAATTTTGTGGTCTCCCAATTCTCTCCCTAAGATGTATTAAACTCAAAACACAATCCTTATTGACAAATATCATTTGGTCCTGTTTGGGCTGCCAACCAGGAATAGGATATCACAAAGAGAATGTATATACGTTGCAGGATAGCCTAGCCACGCCGACATTCTGCCAAAGAAAAGGAACACGGATAAAAGGATCCCCATGGGTACCAAGATTGATAGAAAAACATGCTAGTGGTATATAAAAGAGATGTTCGCCTACAATAGCAAACAGCGAGATGAATGGATAGGTATCTCTAGATAAATAAAAACCCCAATGCAAAAAATACTCCAATCAAGAAATTAAACCATGACGCATAAAGCATAAAAACGTAAGAAACGAACGGCACCAACTTGCCAGTCTGAAATTATCCATTCTCCAACCTCCCCTCATCACTCAACTCCACCCCCCTCCCATTAACAATAGCCTTCATATCAATATTGCCACCCGTGCTCCCACTGTCAGCCCTTCTCTTCTCACTGCCCCCGTCATCCCTCTCAAAAAGCACCACCTTCTTCAACCCCTTCTGCCGCAACAAATATTTGCGGAAAACATACACAAGCTCCGCCACCCCATACTTAGCATGCACCATTGTAGGCACCGAGAACACCTGATCCAGCTCCTCAAGCGTCTTCCCCTTCGTCTCCGGCATGAACAGCAGCACAAGGCAAAATCCAACAATATTCCAACCTGCATACCACCCAAACGCACCCTGCGGTTTAAACGCATGCTTCAAACTCGGCCACGTAATCGCAAGCATGAAGTTGAAAAACCACGTCGTCGACGTCGCCAGCGCCATGCCATGCGAACGCACGTAGAGCGGGTACGCCTCGGCCGAATAAGTGAAGGGTACGGGACCTTCGCCGGGAGAGTATGCGATGCCAAAGAGATAGATACCCAGCGCGACGCAGCCGGTGTGGGCTCTGCGCATGGTGGCAGAGCCGTCGGTGGGGATCCAGAAGGAGAACCCCGTCAGCAACTGGAACAGGCCCATGAGCGGGAAGGTGACGAGGAGGAGATTGCGACGGCCGAATGTATCGATTGTGTAGATAGCTGGGATTGCGAAGAGCCAATTGATAACTCCAAAGCCGAAGGAGGCGGCTAGAGACGCTTTTTGAGAGAAGCCAGCGTCCAGGAAGATTTCGGAGGAGTAGTAGGCTATTACGTTTACACCACAGAACTGCAGGTACAATGTTAGAGGAGTGTACATATGCATGGAATAATAGCAGTTGTGGGGGGGGAGCTTTTGG